TCACACTCGCTATCAAACTCTCTCACACACGCTATCAAACCCTCTCACACTCACTATCAAACTCTCTCACACTCGCCATCAAACCCTCTCACATTCATGATCAAACTCTCTCACACATGCTATCAAACCCTCTCACACTCGCTATCAAACTCTCACACTCGCTATCAAACCCTCACACTCACGATCAAACTCTCACACTCAATATCAAACTCTCTCACACATGCTATTAAAACCTCTCACACTCACTATCAAACTCTCTCACACTCGCTAGCAAACTCTCTCACAGTCACTATCAAACTCTCTCACACATGCGATCAAACTCTCTCACACTCAATATCAAACTCTCTCACACTCAATATTAAACTCTCGCACACTCAATATCAAACCCTCTCACACTCATGATCAAACTCTCTCACACTCACTATAAAACTCTCACACTCGCTATCAAACTCTCACACTCGCTATCAAACCCTCACACTCACGATCAAACTCTCACACTCAATATCAAACTCTCTCACACATGCTATTAAACCCTCTCACACTCACTATCAAACTCTCTCACACTCGCTATCAAACTCTCTCACAGTCACTATCAAACTCTCTCACACATGCGATCAAACTCTCTCACACTCAATATCAAACTCTCTCACACTCAATATTAAACTCTCGCACACTCACTATCAAACCCTCTCACACTCATGATCAAACTCTCTCACACTCGCTATCAAACTCTGACACTCACGATCAAACTCACACACGCTATCAAACTCTCTCACACTCGCTATCAAACTCTCTCACACACGCTATCAAACCCTCTCACACTCACTATCAAACTCTCTCACACTCGCCATCAAACCCTCTCACATTCATGATCAAACTCTCTCACACTCGCTATAAAACTCTCACACTCACGATCAAACTCTCACACATGCTATCAAACTCTCTCACACTCACTATAAAACTCTCACACTTGCTATCAAACTCTCACACTTGCTATTAAACCCTCACACTCACGATCAAACTCTCACACTCAATATCAAACTCTCTAACACTCGCTATCAAACTCTCACACTCGCTATCAAACTCTCACACACGCTATCAAACCCTCTCACACTCGCTATCAAACTCTCTCACTCGCCATCAAACTCTCTCACACTCATGATCAAACTCTCTCACACACAATATCAAACTCACACTCACTATCAAACTCTCACACTCGCTATCAAACTCTCACACACACTATCAAACCCTCTCACACTCGCTATCAAACTCTCTCACTCGCTATCAAACTCTCTCACACTCATGATCAAACTCTCTCACACACGCTATCAAACCCTCTCACACTCATTATCAAACTCTCTCACACTCGCTATCAAACTCTCTCACACATGCTATCAAACCCTCTCACATTCATGATCAAACTCTTTCACACTCACTATCAAACTCTCACACTCGCTATCAAACCCTCTCACACTCGCTATCAAACCCTCTCACACTCACGATCAAACTCTCTCACACTCATGATCAACGTCTCTCACACACGCTATCAAACTCTTTCACACTCACTATCAAACTCTCACACACGCTATCAAACCCTCTCACACTCGCTATCAAACTCTCTCACACTCGCCATCAAACTCTCTCACACTCATGATCAAACTCTCACACTCGCTATCAAACTCTCACACTCACGATCAAACTCTCACACACGCTATCAAACTCTCTCATACATGCCATCAAACTCTCTCACACTCGCTATCAAACTCTCTCACACTATCAAACTCTCACACTCAATATCAAACTCTCTCACACTCACTATCAAACTCTCTCACACTCGCTATCAAACTCTCTCACACTCACTATCAAACTCTCACACTCGCTTTCCAACTCTCACACACGCTTTCAAACCCTCTCACACTCATGATCAAACTCTCTCACACTTGCTATCAAACTCTCTCACACACGCTATCAAACTCTCTCACACTCGCTATTAAACTCTCTCACACTCGCTATCAAACCCTCTCACACTCACGATCAAACTCTCTCACACTCGCTATCAAACTCTCTCACACTATCAAACTCTCACACTCGCTCATAGTCAAATATGCCTTTCCCCCATGTGCAGTAGTTCACTCTTAAAAAACATGGTTCTTTAAGGGTCCTTTTTTAAAGACAGTGATTCTGCATAGAACTAGGAACACAAAAAGAACCATTTGCCTGATTAAAGAGCTCTTTTCATGGTGAAATTGTTCTTCATATTGATAGACAATGTGATGTAGATGGTTCTACATATGACTGACGTCTTTTTGGTGCTATAGAGGTCCGTGTATCTTTGGGTCATTCCATTTTCATTTAAAAAACAATACTGAGAAACAGGAAAATGGGTCAATTATCATTTTTTTTATTCTGTTATTGTCAGTGGAAAAATCTGGAAATAGCTGTGTTTCACAGTTTCACAAACTAATCATAAACTTCATTATAGCAACTTTGTTACAGCTCCAGATTTAAGAATTATAGCTGTGAGCTCTGCTGTCCTGTGTTCATATTGTTCATATGATACTGTGGCAGCTCCGGTTTTGAGAAGGAGCTTTAGAGGTGTGGTATGCAGTGCTGTGCTGTGGCTGCGCCCTGTAAAAAGGGACGGTGTTGTGGTTAATGTTGTTAATGTTGTTGTTCTGTTAGTCTAAAACGTATGTGTGTGTTATTTGTGTTATTCTGTAGCCTGTCCTGTGTCTTCTTCACCAACACACTCATCACTCATCTCTGAGTGAGGCACCAACAACCAGCGCCTTTGGTACATTAAACTAAACTCTCACTGCCAGACTCTGTATTCAGCTTTAGATTTAAATTTAAATTTAAATTCACCAATTGAACTCTTTTTCTTTTTTTTGACTTTAAGTAGCTTTGGGACAGTTTCTTTTCTCAGTCCTCTTTTCTTTTCTTTTCTTTTCTGACACCAAGTACCATACCGGTCACCCCTCTACAAATGTGTGACAAAAGCCACTGTTTGCCACGGCCTTAAGTGTTGGACTAGTGTTGTGCTGAGTAAAATAAAATGTGTTTAAAAGTTGAATTCAGCAGCTTTTTGTCTGAAGCTTCATCAACATGAACATTAAAATCACCATCAGAAGAATCCGATCATGATTAACACACAGCAGTTCAGACAGTTCGGATAAGAAGGAGGTGCGTATTTGGTTGGATGATAAACAACCACCAGCAACACTGGTTCCTGACCTTTAAGTAGAACAACAAGATCTTCAAAAGAAGAAACGGTTCCAAATGAAATGTTTTTACAATTAAAAATACTGGAAAAATACACAGCTAGACCACCTCCCTTCTTACTTTCTGTACAGTATGGATAAAAACATAATTCTGTGGAGCAGTTTTAAACAGGGAAACTGCCCCATCTGAACTAAGCCAGGTTTCAGTATCATAAAGTCCAGTTTCTGTTCAGAAATAAGATGATTGACAGTGCTGGTTTTGTTAGTTAGAGCTCTTACATTCTGCACTGCTGTTCTAAAATCTCTGTCTGACTCTGTTACGGTGCAACAAACTTACAAACTTCAACTAACTTTAATTATTTATTCCTTTAGTTCCTGTAGTTCGTACTGCATTTTGACTGCTTACTACAGTTTGAATAGAGAAGTAACTGTTAGTACCAGATGAGCTGCTGTTTGTTTTATTTACTTCTCTATTTTAACGTAACATTTTACTGATTCCTTTCTCATAGTTCAGAGATAAATATGTAGATCTGCTGAGACTTAGGTGGAGTCCGTCTCTGTGATTTTTCTTTCCGAAAAAGTGTTCTAATTGTCAGTAAAACCCAAGTAATTGTTCTCAGTCCACCTTTTCAGCGACTTCGTTCGAGGCTGCCTCGAGGCGAGTTTTTTGAGTGTAGAGTTGAGTCTGACGGTCCAGCAGTGCCTTAATCTCAGCCTCCAACGATTCCAGTTCTTTACTGAACATCTCAATTTCCCAGAAATTTCCTCACTCAGCATTTCACAGAAATATCAACTAAAAAGAAAAATAAAATAAAATAATTAAAGCGTTATGAAATAAAATTACAAGTGTAAAAAGTATAAAAGTATAAAAATGAGAATTTAAAAAAAAACAAAAGTAAACATTAATAAATAAAATAAAAAAATAAAAATATTCATGTATGTATAAAAATAAGTGAAATAAAATGGCTACGCTAAAAGCGTTTAGCGGTGCTGGCTTAGCTTGTGTTATGCTAAGCTAGGCTGCTCTCTGTAGCTTGAAAGAATTGAGTTACAAATACTAACAAGCCTAGCAGTGTGATTTGGAGCTAATTAGCCTAGCAGATTGATTTAGCGCTAATTAGCCTAGCAGTTTAATTTATAGCTAAATAGCCTAGCAATGTGATTTAGAGCTAACTAGACTAGCAGTATGATTTAGAGCTAACTAGACAAGCAGTGTGATTTAGAGCTAACTAGCCTAGCAGTGTGATTTAAGCTAACTAGCCTAGCAATGCGATTTACAGCTAACTAGCCTAGCAGTGTGATTTAGAGCTAACTAGCCTAGCAGTGTGATTTAAGCTAACTAGCCTAGCAATGCAATTTAGAGCTAACTAGCCTAGCAGTGTGATTTAGAGCTAACTAGCCTAACAGTGTGATTTAGAGGTTTGTAGCATAGCAGTGTAAATTAGAGCTAACTAGCCTAGCAGTGTGATTTAGAGCTAACTAGCCTAGCAGTGTGATTTAAGCTAACTAGCCTAGCAATGCAATTTAGAGCTAACTAGCCTAGGAGTGTGTTTTAGAGCTAACTAGCCTAGCAGTGTGATTTAGAGCCAAGCAGCCTAACTGGGTGATTTGATTTGATCAGTTTAATGTTTTGATCTTTATTTTAGTTTAGTTTTATCTGGACTGTAAGGTCTGAAGGGTGTTTTATACTGTAATGATCCATTTTAGTCTTTATCTTATTTTAGTTTTGATTTGATATGAAGTTTAATGGATGTATAAATGTGTGTGTTTGTTCTTCAGGGTGGATCATGGAGGGAGAATCAGGATGAAACCAGGACCGAAGAAATGTAACAAACACACACACACACATAATACACTATACACACAAATACATATGATTAATATATATATATATATATATATATATATATATATATATATATATATATATCATACAAACACACATGCACACTCATATCTTACCGTCTCACACATACACACACATACACATCAGATTTTCTCTGTGTTGTGTCTCCTCTGTATGTGTATCTGTGTGTGTATCTCTCTCTCTGTGTGTGTGTGTGTACAGATGCTGTTACTCTCACTCTGGATCCAAACACAGTGAACAGACGTCTCTGTCTGTCTGAGAGGAAGAGAAAGGTGAAGTGGGTGGGAGAAGATCATTTGTGTCCAAATCATCCAGACAGATTTGATCGCTGGTCTCAGGTTCTCAGTGTGGAGAGTCTGACTGGACGCTGTTACTGGGAGGTTCAGTGGATAGAAGGAGATGGAGCTGAAATATCAGCATCATACAGAGGAATCAGGAGAAAAAGTGGCAGTAAAGACTGTGTGTTTGGATACAATAATCACTCCTGGAGTCTGAAGTGCGATAATAACAGTTACTCTGTTTATCACAATAAACAGAGAACTGCCCTACCTGCCCCCCCCTCCCCCTCTAACAGAGTAGGAGTGTATCTGGACTGGGGGTCCGGCACTCTGTCCTTCTACACCATCTCCCCTAACACACACACACTGACCCACCTACACACACTCACCACCACATTCACTGAACCGCTCTACGCTGGATTTGGAGTTTATTCTGACTCCTCAGTGAGTCTGTGTGAGATAGAATAACCTCTAGAGAGAGGGAGAGAGAGAGACAGACAGAGAGGGGTGGGGTGGGGGGGGTCAGTTTGTGAAAATTTGTTGTTTATCATTTTGATCTCAGTAAATATGAGAGAAATCAAACCTTTCTGTGTTTAAATTATTTAGAATAAATAAAGAGAATAAAATAAACTGTTTTTTTCTAAAATGTGATTCAGAAAAAGATTCACTAAACAGAACAAAAACACACAGACATGAGTTTATATATGAGACATATTTCAGATTCACTGTTACACAAACACACACATTTACACACCCACTCACACACACATTATACAAAAACACACACCCACCCACTCACACACACAAACACACACTGTACACTATACACACTGACTACACACCCTCACACACATTTATCACTCACACACATTATACAAACACACACATTTACACACACATTCACACATTAACACACATTTATCACACACATTGTACAAACACAGACACACACACACACTCACACACACATAAATCTCCCTCACCAGAGAAATGTTATTATTTTATTAAATAATCTAAATCAATTATAAATTAAAGTCAGTAATAAAGTATTTTGAAGGGAATATAAACCTACACTGTATAAAGAAATTGTAAGATAAAGCTCACATGACTGTGTTGGTTCAGTGGTGACCTGTGTTACGGTAAATTCAGTCCCCCTGTTTCCCCTCATTGCGCATATCGAAATCATGACGTCTTCAGCTGACGCTGCGCTGCAGGGCTTAGATGGTCCTCTGACTGTCTGAACTGAGTCTGAGGAGGATGTCATCCAATCTTTAATGTCCTACACATCACATTAATCTAAGGTTAATGTTCATTAATTTTATACAGTTTTATACAGTTGTATGTAACACAGCTCATAAACTGTGTGGTTAGGGTCAAATTTGAAGTGGCCAGTTTACCAGCTTCCATACAAATGAACACAAGCACAACTTTGTAATTAACATCTGACCAACACAACACAGACCCCTGATAATGAGCAATTATTTTGAGAAAATAAGATGTTATTTGAGAAAATTCTGGAAAGTATTTATTCATTTGGACTTTCTGATTTGGAACACCTGCTCATCTCAGATGAGTTTGAGTTTGAGTTCAGTCCATTTGGAAACTGTGAGATATTGTACATTTTTTTAAAAACTTGCTCTTAAGACACTTTGTTGAGTGTAAATCGACCCAAAGTTTCAGGAACAGCAGTTTGAAACTGCACACAGTCAGTATTTACTGGTATTCACCATCAGCCCACTGTGAGAGAGATCAGAGTAGGTGCTGTTTATGGTGCAGAAAACTTTAGTAAATTTGTTCTTTAGGCTTGTGTTTCATACAGAACTCGCAGATTTACACCTGAAACTGGATCTAAAGCTCAGAACATCAGGTCCTCTGTTTACTCCAGATCACCCAGAGAAGGTCGGGGCTGATTCCTCTTAAAACATCTACTGCATTAAGAGTCTGCTGGTGTGTTTGAGTTTAGTCTGTAATGAACCCTGAAAGCCACGCCCCCTACCAGAGTCTGATCTCTGATCACTGTGTTCTCAGAAAGTAGTTCAGGCTTCTGTTTTTAGCTTCATGCTAATGATCTTTAGTCCATGTTTATAATAACAGTGAGTCATACAGAGTCAGAAACTACATAATCAAGACTATTAGAGACACTGAAGACCTCCACACAGGAACTTCAGGGGTTTTAGCTGAATTGGGTCCTCAGTGTGGAGGTCTGCACTCCCGATATCTTGCGGCGCGGGAGTAATTTTCACTGTTGCTTGCAGGAGCAGGCTGGAAAAAAGCATGCATGAAGAGAAATCCCACAAATTAATGAACAGCCTAAATAAAGTAGAACGATCACTAAATCATATATATAAACAATATAGAAGGAAAACAGTAAAACAATTAAAATGTCATTCTAAAGAGCTGTGAAGCAGCCAATCACGTGAACAACACGCAGATTCACGCAGGAAACCAGCTCAAAACATTAAGAACAGACAGACATTAACGTCACCCAGTAAACAAAGAGTGAACAGTGACAGTGACGACAGTAACAGAGCCATCAGGACAGTGTAGTTAAGAGCTGATAGATCAAACAAACAAAGTAAACGAACAAGTCGGCGTTTACTAATAAACAGAGCAACATAACCACCGCCAGCCAAACGAGGGAGCCGAGAGGCTGCAGCGTGAAGTCCCGCCCCTCTTGGTCTGCTCGGGCTCTCCTATAGGTCAGAAGGAGACAGCGCAACACTTCAGTCCACTATCAGGCTGATAAGATGAGGGAGAGAAAAACACACCCACAGCGCTCACAGTAACACTGTGGTTTAATTCCTGTTCTTAAATGGTGAATAAACGTCGTTTGGTGAAGTTACTCACAGTGAGCCTGATGACCGTGACTGCTGTGTTATTTCAGCAGAGAATAATGTATCTGTGATTAGACTGTATCAGATACTAGATGTCAGTTCGCCTTGACAAGACTGCACGGGCGGGACAAATTTTTTTCAGTTACGGGCGGGATAAACGTTCAGTTGCGGGCGGGAGCGGGACAAATGATTCGCCTCTACTCCAGTGCAGCAGACTGGAATGTGTTCTGACCGGTTCCTGCCGTTTAGAAAGCTTGTCAGATAATCATTGGGTCTGGACAGGGTGAAGCACAGACTGTGTGTATGTAAGGGAACAGAGAGGTCTGATGAGAGCTGTTCTGAACTGTTCTCTCTAAACTAATCCTGTTCATCCTGATGAACACAGACCTGAACGACCTTCTTTACTGAGGACTGAATCAACAACAGCTGACTCTGCTCTCAGGTACTGTGTGTGTACATTAACCTAGTTTACTGTAGTTCAGTGTGGAAAGACTGCACAGTGTTCAGGCTGAGTGTGTGTGTGTGTGTGTGTTAATTTACCCTGTTTTATTATCTAGTAGGATGAAGTAAACACTTCTGCTACACACTTTTTATGCATTTCTTATTCATATCACTGCTGTCAAAAAAAAAGGAAAAAAACACACTCTACTTTTAATGTAAGTCAAGTCAAGTCAAGTCAAGTCAAATTTATTTATATAGCGCCTTTTACAACAGATGTTGTCACAAAGCAGCTTTACAAAGAATCCGGGTCCAAGCCCCCAGTGAGCAAGCCTTGGCGACAGTGGCAAGGAAAAACCCCCTCAAAAGGAGGAAGAAACCTTGATCAGACTCAAAAGGGGAACCCATCCTCCTCTGGTCGACACCGGATAAGAGGACAGACACAAAACAGTATAAGTGGATACAGTTTAACACCACTGTGCAGTTCGCCAGCCGCATCTCAGGTCAGACCCTCTTAGGACAGGCAGCCGCTCAGCTCAGGGAAAGAGAGGGGGAGGGAGAAGGGGGGGGGGAGGGAGGGAGGGGGGATGAGAGGGACATAGTTAGAAAAACAAATTAACCAAAAGCTCGACTAAACAGGTAAGTTTTTAGCCTAGACTTAAAGATAGAGGCTGTGTCTGAGTCCCGAACACAGACTGGTAGTTTATTCCAAAGCTGGGGGGCTTTGTATGAAAAGGCTCTTCCCCCTGACGTAACTTTATTTATTCTGGGTACTAATAATGAGCCCGCACCTTGTGATCTAAGTGGGCGTGTCAGTTGATAATAGGAAATAAGGTCACTGAGGTACTGAGGAGCAAGGCCATTCAAAGCTTTATACATCAGTAGAAGAATTTTGAACTCAATGCGGAATTTAACTGGCAACCAATGTAAGGTACACAAAATTGGGCTAATGTGGTCGAATTTCCTGGTTTTGCTGAGAACTCTGGCTGCAGCGTTCTGGACTAACTGAAGCTTGTTAAGGTTTTGGCTGGAACAACAAGAAAGCAGAGCGTTACAGTAATCTAACCTGGACGTGATGAAGGCGTGAACTAACGTTTCTGCATCCTGTAGCGACAGTGCATTTCTTAATTTAGCGATGTTACGCAGGTGGAGGAAAGCTATTCTGGTAATATTGGTAATATGCTCATCGAAGGCCAGACTGGGATCAATCGTGACACCAAGACTTTTTACAGATGTGCCTGGTGCAATTGAGAAACTATCGAGATTAAGAGTAAACGTAGGCAGATTATCCCTAGCAGCTTTTGGACCAAGAAGAAGGACTTCGGTTTTGTCCGAATTTAGTAAAAGGAAGTTGCTTGACATCCATTCTTTAATGTCTTTGACACAGTCCTCTATCTTATTATAAGTTCAGTTTTGTCCTCAGGTTTAGCTGAAATATATAATTGTGTATCATCGGCATAGCAGTGGAAACTGATGCCATGTTTTCTAATGATGGTACCTAGTGGTAGCATATATAAGGTAAATAACATGGGTCCTAAGACAGAGCCCTGTGGAACACCATACTTTACTCTTGTGAGAGCTGATGGTTCACCATTTACATTAACAAACTCAAAGCGATCACTAAGGTAAGATTTGAACCACGAAAGAGCTTTACCTGTCACTCCTACTAGTTTCTCAAGCCTGTCTAATAGAATGGAATGGTCTATTGTGTCAAATCCTGCACTAAGGTCGAGTAAAACCAGTAAGGATATGTTTCCTTTGTCAGCGGATAATAAAAGATCATTTACAATTTTCACTAACGCTGTTTCGGTACTATGGTGAGGCCTGAAGCCAGACTGAAATTTTTTATATATATCACTCCTATGCAGATGGGAACATAATTGTTTTGCCACAGCTTTCTCTAAAATTTTTGATAAAAAGGGAAGATTTGAACTAGGTCTATAGTTTGATAGCTCAGAGGGGTCAAGACTAGGTTTCTTTATTAAGGGTTTAATTACACCTAATTTAAGAGATTTTGGAACATACCCGAGGCTGAGAGAAGAGTTTATGTTATAGTACGTTTAACACTATAGCGTGTGGATGGACATATATTACGACTAAAACTGATTTCATATGAGATTAAGTAGTGGTCTGACACTGCTGTGGTCTGAGGAAGGATGGCCAAATGCTTAATGTCTATACCTAAGGTCAATATTA